GTGTGTTGGAGCAGGGAAAATCATAAAACCTGCTGGGCTGCAGCCCTCGAGGACCAGGATTGCCCACCCCTGCTTTAGTGTGTTGTAAGGTTTTCTGTGAGCAGAATTTTGTAACCTGTTTTCTTCTGCCTTTTGAAAAAGTCATTGCTTTTCTCTGTCTGTTTGTGTCCTCTGATTGTACTGATTTTATGACTCAGATTAAAAATAGTTATCTTTTTCCAGGCAGGTCAGGGCTTTGTTGACCGAGCCGAATTGTTAAACATTTCTCCAAATACACAGCATTCAAATGTCTTACAGCTAGCCCATTCCTTTCTGGAGTTATGACTGAAACTAAAATTAAAATCCATGAAATTAGTGATCTGATCTGTTACACTTGTCCCAGGCTGACTGTAGAGAGCTCTACAAGAATGTTTTCTGCCACCAGTAAACTTACAGCTGATCCAGTATTCAGTGATGTTTTGAGCTGTCTCACTGTCGAACCCTCTGATCCCGTCACCTGCAGACGCTGCGGCGCTGCTACAGCCGGGTGAAGGAGCACGGCATCGGGAAAAGGAAGAGCAGCTACACCATCGAGCAGCTGGAGAAGGTGTTTGGTCAGGGAGGCTGGGACTCGCAGAGCTGTGCCCCCGTGCTGATCAACAGCAGTGGGCTGTACCAGGACATGGAGTCTGATGGCAGCYCTCTGGAAGACTTCTCCCAGGAGGACTGGTGCAACCAGGTACTGGATTCAGCCTTCCAGGAGGGGGACATGGAGACCGGTGAGCCGGGTTCATTACTTGATGACGGTTTGGTGACACAAGAGGACGGTTTGAACTAATACTTTGATTTTATTTTTTCACTAGAGGAGGTCCAGATGTCTAAAAACAGAATTTTACAGATCCAGGRGGAGCTGTCGGAACACACCCAGTAAGTTCACCTTTAAAATAATCTATAATGAATTTGATTTGATGTGTTTCTGTTGTGTTTGATCTGGTTTTGGTTTCSTTTGTCCCGTCTACTTCAGTTCTACCACTGGGTGTCATCAAAGCACACCTTTTCCTTCGGTCTTTGCCACGAATCTGTTTAACCCTAAAATACAGCCAGTCCACCAGAATCAGCTACAATTTAAAAACAGAAATTGATTTACTGTTACCTATACTGCTTAATAGTTATTTGGTAGTTCTAGTCCTTAATAAAAGCTATATTTGTTGTTCTTTTCATTTTATTAGACATTTTACAAATAAGCAGGCTGTGAGAACAAAGTGACAAAATAAATCATGGCACCAAATCAATTCATTTATCAAACTGGGACACGGGGTAGAAAATCAGTAAAAACAAACTGCAATGATTTGCAAARCTCAGAAACCAATATTTTATTCATATTAAAACATAATAAATGTTGAAACTAAAAAACTGTTCCATTTTATGCAAGAAAAGAAAATACAAATTTGTGAATTTGATGTCAGCAACAGAGWGTTGGAACAAGTCATGTTTCCCACTAAAGAATGGTTATTTAGCTCCTCCATTTGTTTAATGGTTTGCTCCGTCCTGCCCTACTGAACATGACGTCGACCCACTGCCGGTGTGCAGATCACGTTCTGGGTTAGGGCTGCCACAAACGATTATTTTTATAATCGATTAATCACCGATTATTTTTTCGATTAGTCGACTAA